ATAGATAGATAGATAGATAGATAGATAGATAGATAGATAGATAGATAGATAGATAGATAGATAGATAGATAGATAGATAGATAGATAGATAGATAGATAGATAGATAGATAGATAGATAGATAGATAGATAGATAGATAGATAGATAGATAGATAGATAGATAGATAGATAGATAGATAGATAGTGATAACTTTTTTTGTAAATAGATAAATTATTTTTTTGAAAAAAAATCTGAAAATCAAAAAAAAATGTTTCCAGATTTTTGAATTAGAAGATCTACACAATTCTATCTGCAAATCTTATTAATACTAGAATACACCTATTTCATAAAATATTTGATGTCGAACTTTCAAAACTATTTTATAAAACAATTTTTTATTTTGCGATAGGAACCTAAGCTAGGGACAGAATTTTTCAATTTTCAACTTTAGCAAATAATCACGCGTTTTCTAAATAAACACGAAACAATTAGTGTAAATTAAAAATATTTAAATATCCAGATATAAACTCCAAATAAAATGGTTTAAAGGGAAAAAGGCAGCCGCAGCCGCAGCAGCAAAACAAAAAGATCTAGAGCGACGTCTGGAAGAGCAAAGATTAAAACTGTTGGAAAGTAGCAGCTCTTTAAGCACCGAAACAGAATCTACCGAATCCTTTACATCGTTTGAAGAAGTAACACCCGAAGAAGAGCCTAAAAATATATTGGAAACTTTATATGACACCGATACTGAATCACTAGGGGAAGAAGAGCATGTGGATGTTGAAACTGTAACATTACCAGAAGAGGGTGACTTCTTTGAGGGTTTTAGGGAAATACCCAATGTTGAAACTATTTCAGAGGATATATCGGTGGCTTCAGTTATCATAGAAAAAACTGTGCACGAGGTGGATGCGTCCAAGGACATGGGAAAATTTGTAAATCCATTGACTGGGCTAGAAATGAGAGGCAGCGCTGGTTCGTCATCTTCATCAAGTGAAGGACACAAAGATGATGATGAAAACGATGAGGAAGATGAGAGTTCTTTTAAAGATATGTCGCAAGAAAGTGAAATCCTATTACCCAAAGATGTGCTGGATCTTGACGAAGATGTCAGAAAACCTGCAGCCATAGAAGATACTTTAGAAACATTTTTAGAACTTGAACTAGAAGCGGAGGTGTTACAGGCAGAAGAAATCGATTGGGAAGCTTTAGCTCGGGAAGAAGAAGCTCTGCGTTTACAACAAAATACCCAAAACTTCTTAAATGAACTGATTAATAAAGCAGTCGAAATGGCAGAATATGTTAGTCCTGAAAGGATTCTAAAGCAAAATCTTGATAAACGTAAATTGCTTATGGAGTTGGCTGTCACATATCCGAATTACCTAACAGAAAAATCTCGTTGTGAATTTCTGAATCGCCAGATAGTGCAACATTTTAGACGCAAAAAATCATTTCGTCCCATCATGGAAGACAATCCAAAACCTTGCAACAGGATAAACAAAAATTATATTTTGCTAAAAAACGTTTAGACGAAATATTGGCTAGAGAAATGAAATTATTAAATTCTTCGACAAATGTCCAAAGTGAATTGAGTGAACAATATGATGAATTGAAAAAGGAGGTTGAGGAAAAGATTGAAATATTCGAGAGTAAAGTTAGGAAATATTTAACACGCGAATGTTGGCCTAAACTAAATGGAGTAATTATGATTTTAATTCATAAATTTAAGTATTTCTTTAAATGATATAATTACCAGATTATTGAACAATTATTGCTAAAAATGGGAAAATATCGCAAAGAAGTCAGTGAAGTTAGATTTACCTTGTTTCTGCAACAACACACTCAAGCTCGTCTTACACAAGTAAGTTTCACTTAAAGCTAATAAAAACTATTAAAATGAAATTATGAAAATTATTTTAGTTATTAACAAAATTAGAAGACTTGGGAAATGGCTTAAACATGAAAGATTTTAGCCATTTACAAGCTGAAAATCAGGCTTTAGATAAGAAAATAGAAGGTAAATTCTCAAAACTAATATTACGATCTATTTGCATTTCAATTTCTCTATTTTAGAACGCAATGCCGAACTTAACAAACTCCATCTACGTTGCCACAAAGATTTACATACCTTGGCCCACTATAAGGAAAAACAACAAATGCTTTGCACCAACATTACCATACAAACGTCGGTATTAGATGCTCTCATGGAGAACAAACGTATGCTAAGAGAGCATTTATATACTTTGAAAGTGCAACGCAATCGTATGAATGGCCAAATAAAGAAACTAAGTGCTCAGGGAGGCCTTTTAGATAAACCGGCTCTGATGTTTGATTACGATCATACGGTGGAACGTTGCCGTGAACAAAGGGAAATTGTTAATCGTTTAAGACAAACTAAACGTTTGATCCAGAGGAAAATCGATGAGATAGTTAAACATTGTTCACAGGGTATATCCAATTGAATGACATTTAATTAACTTGTTGCATTTGTAGCTTGAGGAGAAAACATAATTTATTAAATAAATGAGATTTATTCAATAAAAATTTAATTTTATGAAATTGCTCTCATTTTGTCATATGCAAGAGAAAGTGGCAGGGTCGATTAAATTAAGAATGGATTTTTTTTGTATTAAATAGGCATAAATGAAGCCAGATATTAGTCAGCACTATTACGCTTAATTTTACAAAAATAACTTTTAAAATTTGTTTCAATCTGCAGACATTTCTAATTAAATATTAACAAAACAATCAGCCTTAAATTCCAAAATTATACAAATACTTCATTATGAAAAATCTGTAAAATATCCAATAAACTTAATTAGACTAAACAAACCTTTAGAACATTTTGAAGTTATCTAAACGTTATTGTATAAAAATTATATTGGAGGTAAAAGATGAGAAGAGAACTAGTTATAATGTCAACATTATAATTACAATACGTGTCAATGTTAATAAGTTAAATTAAATTTTTAACAGATAATGAAAATAACGAAATGACAACTAAATAGAAACCATCTCATCCATATTTTAAAGCACACTTAACCATATATGGATAAGGATATCTAGTGGAAACAGTTCTATTCTATATTAACACGAAAAGAGAAAGGGGGGAGAGGAAAAGAAAGGAAAGGGAAGGAAGAGAGAGGGGAAGGCGAGGGGGGGGGAAAACGCAGGCAGGCGGGGGCAGGCAACAGGGGGAGAAAGAAAACAGAAAAAGAACGAACGAACGAAACGAAACGACGAACGAACGAAAACGAACGAACGAACGAACGAACGAACGAAGAACGAACGAACGAAACGAAAGAACGAACGAACGAACGAACGAACAACGAACGAAACGAAACGAACGAACGAACGAACGAACGAACGAACGAAACGAACGAACGAACGAACGAACGAACGAACGAACGAAACGAACGAACGAACGAACGAACGAACAACGAACGAACGAACGAAACGAACGAACGAACGAACGAACGAACGAACGAACGAACGAACGAACGAACGAACGAACGAACGAACGAAGAACGAACGAACGAACGAACGAACGAACGAACGAACGAACGAACGAACGACGAACGAAAAGAACGAACGAACGAACGAACGAACGAAAGAACGAACGAACGAACGAACGAAACGAAACGAACGAACAACGAACGAACGAACGAACGAACGAACGAACGAACGAACGAAACGAACGAACGAACGAACGAACGAAAAAGAACGAACGAACGAACGAACGAACGAACGAACGAACGAACGAAACGAACGAACGAACGAACGAACGAACGAACGAAAAGAACGAACGAAAGAACGAACGAACGAACGAACGAACGAACGAACGAACGAACGAACGAACGAACGAACGAACAACGAACGAACGAACGAACGAACAACGAACGAACGAACGAACGAACGAACGAACGAACGAACGAACGAACGAACGAACGAACGAACGAACGACAACGAACGAACGAACGACAACGAACGAACGAACGAAACGAACGAACGAACGAACGAAACGAACGAACGAACGAACAACGAACGAACGAACGAACGAACGAACGAACGAACGAACGAACGACGAACGAACGAACGAACGAACGAAAACGAAAACGAAAACGAACGAACGAACGAACGAACGAACGAAAACGAACGAAAACGAACGAAACGAACGAACGAACGAACGAACGAAAACGAACGAAAACGAAACGAACGAACGAACGAAGAACGAACGAACGAACGAAACGCGAACAACGAACGAACGAACGAACGAACGAACGAACGAACGAAGAACGAACGAACGAACGAACGAACGAACGAACGAACGAACGAACGAACGAACGAACGAACGAACGAACGAACGAACGAACGAACGAAGAACGAACGAACGAACGAACGAACGAAAACGAACGAACGAACGAACGAACGAACGAACGAAACGAACGAACGAACGAACGAAGAACGAAAACGAACGAACGAACTAACGAACGAACGAACGAACGAAAACGAACGAACGAACGAACGAACGAACGAACGAACGAACGAACGAACGAACGAACGAACGAACGAACGAACGAACGAACGAACGAACGAACGAACGAACGAACGAACGAAGAACGAAACGAACGAACGAACGAACGAACGAACGAACTAACTAACGAACGAACGAACGAACGAACGAACGAACGAACTAACGAACGAACTAACGAACTAACTAACTAACTAACTAACTAACGAACTAACTAACGAACTAACTACCTAACTAACTAACTAACTAACGAAACTAACTAACTAACTAACTAACTAACTAACTAACTAACTAACTAACTAACTAACTAACTACTGACTGACTTCCTTTTTTTATAAGAATTTGAATATTTTCTATACAATCAGAAATTTTCGAAAAATTCCTTATAAATAACGAGAATTTGAAAAATTCAATAATAAGTTTGAAAAAGCTTTTTTTTTAAGTGAGAAAATATAGAAATTTTTTAAAAGTAGAAAAAAAATTTAATAAAATTTTTCCATTAAAATATATAACTTTTGAAGATTTTCGATTGAAAAAGTTATATAAGAAAACAATTTTACTGGCTCCTACCGCGAAGTATTCTTCTTTCAAATTGGTTAAACTATAAGAATTTTGTTCTGCTGTACAGCGTGGAATGAAATGAACTCCTTTCCTTTTTGCATATTTTTTGTCCCAAATATCCCACTGTAGATCGTATTCAGTCTTCTATTGGACATTTTAATAGAAATAATCATATGAAAAAAGTAACAACAATAACAACAAAAATACCAACCAATATAATGTGTAAAAAAGTAGCAACAATACAGAGATAACATGATGTTGGTAAAGGAAACATGTAGCAGATTCATAGTAAAATATATTGCTCATACGTATAGAGTATGAATACATATTACAACCATAGCAGTTTTACAAGGATAAAGAATGTTTGTTTTTTTTTTTTTTTTGCTACTACTGTCCTCCTTTACTAAACTGCTATAGAATGCAAAGTATATGGATTCAGTTTTTTTTTTTTTTGTATTTTAACAAAATTTCGTTGTTCGTTTTATACCCGAGTGTTAATTGAACTCAACACACTAATGGAAAAAGGATTTAATGTAATTATTTAGCAGCACTACAAAAGAAAAAAAATGCAATGCAAATACCAAAAAAAAAAATAGAGTATTGCTACATTTTCTATACTCATAATGGTCACACAGTATCATACATTTCTATGGTTTAAACAGATTCTGTGTGTGAAGCTTCGAAGTTTTTTTTCACAGAATTTAAACGGAAATAATTCTAAACGTAATGGAACTAGAGCTGTATGAAGAAATAAAGAAGAAGAACACGTTAGATCTTTTTATATTGTCTTTAGAACTACACATGTATAGGTTCAAGTGGAAGTGCAAGTATTTGCTATCGAAATTGTGACATGTTTTTACTTAAAATGCTTTTAGTTAATTTAAGAATACTGCCGCAGATGGGGGTCAAAAATTAGCAGCCACGCTTTTTTATGGAAATTTTTCGAAACTTTCCTGTTTTTATTGAAAATTTTTGAAATTTTCTCTTTTTTATAAGAAATTTTTCGTATTTTTCTTTATCTTTTCATAGAAAATTTTCGAAATTTTCCCTTTTCATAGAAAATTTTCGAAATTTTCTCTTTTCATAGAAAATTTTCGAAATTTTCTCTTTTCATAGAAAATTTTCGAAATTTTCTCTTTTCATAGAAAATTTTCGAAATTTTCTCTTTTCATAAAAAATTTTCGAAATTTTCTCTTTTCATAAAAAATTTCCGAAATTTTCTCTTTTCATAGAAAATTTTCGAAATTTTATATGAATTTTTTGAAATTTTCTCTTTTTTATAAGAAATTTTCTTTTTATAAAAAATTTTCGAAATATTCTTTTTAAAAAAAATTTTCGAAATATGCTCTCTTTTTAGAAAATTTTCGAAATTTTCTCTTTTAATAGAAAATGTTCGAAATTCTCTTCTTTTATAGAAAATTTTCGAAATTCACTCTATTTATAGAAAATTTTCAAAATTATCTCTTTTTATTCAAAATGTTCGAAATTCTCTCTCTTTATTGGAAATTTTCGAAATTCTCTCTTTTATAGAAAATTTTTAAAATTCTCCCAATAATAGAAAATCTTCGAAATTCTCTCTTTTTATAGAAAATTTTCGAAAGTTTCTCTTTTTTAGAAAATTTTCGAAAGTTTCTCTCTCTTTTTATAGAAAATTTTCGAAAGTTACTCTCTCATTTTGTAGAAAATTTTCGATAGTTTCTCTCTCGTTTTATAAACATTTTTTCGAAAGTTTCCCTCTCATTTTATAGAAAATTTTCGAAATTCTCTCTTTTTATAAACATTTTTCGAAATTCTCTCTTTTTATAAACATTTTTCGAAATTCTCTCTTTTTATAAACATTTTTCAAAAGTTTCTCTTTTTATGTAAAATTTTCGAAAGTTTGTCTTTTTATAGAAAATTTTCGAAATTCTCTCTCTCTTTATAGATAATTTTAGAAATTGTCTCTTTTTATATAATTTTCGAAATTCTCTCTTTTTATAGATAATGTTCGAAATTCTTTCTTTTTATAGACAATTTTTGCAATTCTCTCTTTTTATAAAAAATCATCGAAATTTTCACTTTTTATAGAAAATCTTAAATCTTTGAAATTATCTCTTTTTATAAAAAATCTTCGAAATTTTCACATTATATGGAAAGTCTTCAAATTTTTCTCTTTTTTCCTTTTCATTAAAAATGTTCCAAATTGACTTTTATATTTCAAATTTTCAAAAATTTACTTTATATAGAAAATTTTCGAAATTTTATTTTCTTAAGAAAAATTGCCGAAAATTTTGTTTTTTTTATAGAAAATGGTCTCTCTTTTAAAGAAAATGTTCTAAGTTCGCTTCTCTTTATATAAAATGTTTTTTTTTTTACAAAATTCACTCTCTTCTTCGACAGTTGGCACCAAAATTCTTATAAAATATATTCTAAATTTTCCTTTATTCTA